ATAAAATACATGTTATTCCGGTGCCTTCTCTGCAGAAAAGGCACCTGAATTAATTTTATCCTACTAAATATTCATTAAAATTGACTGTGAATAGTATACAAATCAACTTAACAGAGAAGATATGCAAGAACGATGATACTTACCGTGTCCTCAGAGTTCAGTTAGTCCAGGAAGCCTCCCTGGACAACATCCTTCCGTTTCCCTCGCACCCCACCATAGCGGTCCCGAGACGCGTGGAACCATTCTATGACGGTGTTGCGGACAACCTTTTCATCAACATTCCGTAAGTGCGGATGTTGTCGGACGGCCTCTGAACGTCGTGACACAAATGTAAACCTACCACAAAATACAGCGTACAAGGGGCTTCCATTAAAGGTCATTTTGTTCTTAGAAGCCCTTGAATAAGTAAATTGTTAAATTAGGGGCGGCCCTAAAATCCCCGATAGAAGGCTTCTTATAATGTCCTTTTCATTTCGTCCGCCAATCTTTATTAAGCCATCGACCTGTAAGTAAGCAGTTAGAAGTGAGTTTGAACACAAGCGTACCGTTTGCTGCAGACAGTCTTTGTCTGACTTAAAGCGGTCGAGGAAATGTGAGAGGCCCTCTTGAGAGCAGAGTGGAAAACGCCCCACTGTTGCCATCGACCCTGTAGGTATAAAACGGTGGCTGTCAAGGACAGCAGCACCGACTTTCTCAACTTTGGCGAAAAGGACACTATGCTCCGAAGTAATGTGATCCACTCGCTTCACAAGCATATCAAGTTTTGTACCATGGTAAACCATCACAAGGGAAGGGAAGAATCCTTACCGTACATAGTCGTTGTCTTGTCTACTGACTGCCTCAAATGCATCTAACCTTTTACTAAGGGAAACTTTATGAGCAATATCAGGCGGTCTTACGTAATCTTATCATGGGCTCGCCTATTCAATTCATTACTTTGCCTCTAGCGCTTCCATACGGGCTTCAAAACGGGCTCCAAGACGGTCCTCCATCGCCTTCAGCCACGCCAGCATTGTTGCAGGGAGCAACTAAGTGGAAGGAGCGGTAGTTGCGGGAGAATTTACATCGGAGAGCTAACTGAAATAAGTTAAATTAATATTGCTTACTGAGACGTGCTGGGTCAACCCAGTGCGCGTTTAGCGGGTGGCGGCTGATTTTCTTTATCACTGTCTTCGTCTTCAGAATCTGACACAACCCGACGGCGAATCCTAGAAAAGAAAAGATTAGTTGTACTAAACGCTTACTTCCTTCGGCAACCCTTGCCTTGCTGCGTGGGTTAAGAGCTGGACAGATCAGAGGTCTCCTCCGCCAGCTTAGAGCGACGGCGAGCCTCGTCTAATATGAAGTAGTTACCCAGTATCCTAACCGGGTAATAAGGCGTGCCATCTGGTGGCCGCTCCTCCTTCTCCAAACAGCGCTTTCGCACTTTTGGGTTATTCGGCCACATGACACGACTCTTGTTGTGCTCGTAGAACCACTTCTCTCCAACCACGTCAACGGAATTTTTGGTGGTAAGGATAACCACGAAATACATCTTAAGCAAAACCAGGTGACAGTCAAGTCATTTACATTAACATCAAAGCGGGAAAACGAAAAGTTTATAAGAATTTTATTGCTCAGAAAAAGTATGTGAAAGAAGTTGAGGAGGAAAAAGAGGGGGTGATAAAGAGGTCGGTGCAATCAGTAAAAGATCTGTAGAGTATACAATCTGTAGTAAATCCAGTGAGTTGACATGGCCTATTGCCAATGAGTACTACATTGTCGGGAGATTCCGTCGATAATACATATCCCTTGTGAAAAATTGCGGTAGATCCGCGGGGCAAATTAATGGGTCATGGAACGCCAACGTCGTCGTCCAACATAATCGAGCTGGACGTCGACTCAAGGTTACGCCTTTCAAAGAAGCGGAGGTACACCTGCGAAGCACAATAGCGAGATCCACTAATATCACTTCTTATATCTTTGAAATAGGATTCGAAGGGGAAAGCCGAGAAGTTGTCTAACATTACAAACCGATTAACGTCGTCCGGAAGGTGGAACAGAGAATGAAAATTATAAACTACGTGGTTTCGTTTGTAAAAGTTCTTTCAGCTCGGACACACAGTCTTCCAGAAACATCTGTATGGGGTCCGGCTTACTCCAACCGCAGAACCTACGGTAATCCGCGTACAATCTGAGCAGGGGATCTGAATGTTCCCCGCTTAAAACACGAGTATGCCACATTCAATCTACACGCGTGCACTGCATAAAAACCAAAATACATACGAAAATACAAACCAAAATAGTACAACGTTTCGAGGTTGCAGTGATATTATTCGTGAAAAGGTTTATTTAGGAATCGGCAAATACGAAACTTGGTCACAAAATAGGGTTGCCGAAGGCATGTATATAAACTATTGTGTTAATGTAATAGTAATTTGATCCCAGTTACATCCTATTTAAAATTGACAGAGCCATGTTCATTCCATTCCTGATGATAAAAAAAGCATTCGTGAAGGAAAAATATCATAGAAATTATTTGCGCTACTTAGGCTTAAACGCGATAAGTTCGTTGATGATTAGTGATAACTAGACACTGTAAACTATTCCAAGATTTTTAAGAATTAACCGGTGAGTAAGAGGTTGCAACTTATAGGTAGAGACTAATGCCACCACATGTCACAAACAATTTTGATCTTTAGAATAAGCCATGATGACTCAATGGGTAAATACCAGCACCCTGGCTATAGTGCTGCTGCATTTAGGGGATGTCTACAGCAGCATACTCCTGACAAATTATTTTAACCATACACTAGTACGACCGCAGCAATAGATAAACACCTTCTAATATAAGCCTCAACCCGTGCTTTGAGGCAAAGTTGAGCTTGAAACGTAAAAATGTCGGCCAATTGTGTCCGAAGACGTACAAGGGTTTTCGAAAGTATTAGAAGGGATCATCAATAAAATATAAGCTGATGGTTACAGCGGCTCTTTGGGTTCAAACTGCCATGTCAAACACACCAGCACAAGTTTTCAAATGTGCTCTTAATACTGCAGCGGCATAAGAAAACCCACATATAACAGTTGCGTAGTACTCATGTTGCTTCCTAAAATATCAGGCATACCAAAACGTCTGTACCCAGAAGTAACATTGAGATGACATATGTGATGACGCACATCGTGGCACAAAAAACGGATATGATAAGTAGAGCATTCTCCAAGCAATTGGAAAGGATTTTCTACCGAACACAAGTGCCCTGATATTTATTACAATAGACGTCAAGTGTTGGTGTATAGTGAAATATGCTACTTGTTTGCGTTCCCTATTACTCACACTTCATCACCAAGGTTATGCTGTTAACGCCTTACTAACGCAAATAATTTATATGACATTGATCCGTCACGAAATCATTTATTACCGCTGGTAATGGAATGAGCATGGCTCTGCCAATATATGCGCTACGAATGCCCAAAAGGCACAAAACCAGCATGATCAAATAGACCATGACCCTTAAAAATAGGGCAATGCAGCGGATCTATTATTTACTTCTTATCACTACTATGACGCGTTAGAGTGTTTTAGCCCAAATTAGGCACCTTGTTGTTGCACATTGGTCGCATTTTCTAACCAAACATTCGAAAGAATTCATCCGTTCAGTAGGTCTCATGACGATTTACATCTCCTTCAACGATGAGTAAATTTAAAACGTTCTAATAATCCTCATAATGTGTACTTTCTTCTAATTAACAATTTGTTCATGAATACGCGAAAAATTCCTCGGCTCGCGGTTAAAAAATCGATACTCGGCAAAGGCAGCCAATCACAGTGGCCAGACGGGCGTATGCATGGAAATTTAAAACTGTGATCTATAAAAGGCGACACAGTGCAACGAAATAGATGCCGTGCTGTCAGGAGAATGAACTGCTGTCGTCGACGTGGGACTTTCTAGTTTGCCGTCTTCGTCAACTCGGTCCGTCACCCGTGCAAAAAGAAAACAATGACAATGACAATGAAAATGACAATGCCGTGCCCGGGGATCCACAGGGAAATCGGTCAGGCGGTGATCTGTGCCAATCTGCC